ACTATATATAATTATTATATACACATATATATGTATATGTATATATATATATATGTATAAACATATATATATATATGTTTATAGTCACTCCTAACTTGTTGGGAATCCTCCATGAATTCAAAATATTCACTTTTAAAAACTAAATATTATTTGTTTTACTTTAGCAAAGTATATGTGAATTATAGTATCTACAATTTCTATACCCATCTTTTATAAAATACATCTTAAGAATGCTTATAAGAATGAAAAATTCCATTCAAAGATTATTCTTACACAAGTTAAAATGTAGAAAAATGGTTAAAATAAAACTGGTCAGATGTGTTGAAGGGTATGCAGTCAGACTGACACATGTTTTATTAGTATGTTTGCTTCCACCCTCCCCTCAATGTTTAGGTCAATATTAATTTAATTTGATTCAGTTTATTGTGTACAGAGATGTCATCAAGTTGGGGCATATAGACAGTCAGGATAGAGCTTCAATGGGTGACACCTTGCTGGTGTTACCATTATCTGAAGTCTGGTTCTTAGTTTTATCATTTGAGAAACATCATTTTTTTGGCGCACCGATAGTAGTCTGTCACAAGCAATCAGAGATTAGCATATCAACCAGAACTTCAGTGTATTAATTTATTAAAAGAAATATTACTCCCAAGTGTACTGGAATATTTGTATCTATTTGACTCATAAATTCCCTCAAATCCAGTAGATTCTCAGTGATAAAATTGGACTAAGGAAAACTGGTTATTTGATATGAATGACCATCTATCATCATGTTCTGGTAGAGAAAATAAGCATTTCAGCTCTAGTGTATGCTTGTAAGGAACTAGATTTCTCATGTTGCTGATGCCATACTGCATAACCAAAGGCCATGTCCTTAATCAGTATATACACTTTTGTGTTGTGCTGATATAGAATTGATACAACCATTTTGTTGACATTAGAATCTGGGGTTTCCTTTTCATTATTATTTAATTAGACTGAGTTTAAAATAATTATTAAACTTTGAATATTTTACCATTCACCAGTACGGTACTTGGGACATGCATTTACAGATTATTGCTTTGGTTGAAGTTACTTCTAGAGATGGTCATATCATTTATTAAGTGATGTTTATTTTAATGTCTCTTTGCTTTGCTTTGCTTTTCCTTTTCTTTCTTTTTGAGGCAGAGTCTTGCCCTGTCACCCAGGCTGGACACAATCACCACTCGCTGCAACCCCCACCTCCCAGGTTCAAGAAATTCTCCTGCCTCAGCCTCCCAAGTAGCTGGGATTACAGGCATGCACTGCAATACCCAGCTAATTTTTGTATTTTTAGTAGTGACAGGGTTTCACCATGTTGGCCAGGTTAGTCTCCTGGCCTGAAGTGATCTGCCTACCTCAGCCTTAAAGTGCTGAGATTCCAGGCTTGAGCCATGACGCCCAGCCTATCTTAATGTTTTTTTTTAAGGTTCTCTGTGCTATATACTGTTTATTTCTGCTTAATATTAGTCATCTCAGTATGGCTAGTACTGACTAACCAACTTCTTTTTGATTGTCTTATTTGTTCAAATCTTGTATTATTTTATCTACTTCCTTTACCATATAATCTTTTTGTTCCTCTTCTGAATTCTTTTATTTTTTATTTCCCTTATATAGTTTTAATTATAAGCCATATTTCACTGAATAATTATAAACTGTTGAATAGGTCGAAAGTCCTTAGATTGCTTCAAATCAAATTTCCACATTTTGTGAATGGGAACTGTAGATTCTAAGAGGTTATGTGACTTCTAAATCTAAATTCAGAAACCTTTTTCATTTTCCTATGTGTTACTTGTACATAGAAACTGTAAGAGTATGAATATTATTTTCCTTGTCAAATAAACTCCTAGTTACTAGAAGTTTTTAATATTTTTTAACAATCTTGTGTGTAAAGGGGACTTAAGATGAAATTTAACTTTTTTTAAAATCCGTTTTTACAGGATCAGATGACAACAATCTGAATTCCATCTTTTATGAACATTTAACTAGATCCCTACAACATAGCCTCTGTGGTGATTTGCTACTAGGACGGTGGGGAAACTACAGTACAGGGGACTGTTTCATCCTTGCCTCTGACTATCTCAATGCATTAGTACACCTTATAGAGATAGGCAATGGTCTGGTCACTTTTCAGCTGCGGGGACTTGAATTCAGAGGTAAGACATTCATTCACCTTTTATTTCCATAGCATACTCCAGCAGCACCTAAGTTTTACATGTTTCTGTATCAAACCTTCTGGTTCTCATAGAATTAGATATTTATGCTTGTGGAATGAGAAAAGTTGTATTAGATTTTTTCACCCCACATTCCATGTTCCAAGAAGAATCATGTTTGCAGTATGGCTTCATATGTGAAGATAGTAGCATTAGCGTATAATTGATTTGTTTTCCTGGATAGGTTGAATTTCTTTTGTTTTGTGCTTGGTCTGTTGCTGGTCCCTTTTGCGACCAGCTGCATAAATTTGTTAGATAGCTAGCAACATGGAATGCTGAATTTTTGTTTGAGACAGAATAGTTAGCTGAGTTATGTTTATATAGACACCATGGCTTTGTCCTCAACAATTCTTTTTAATTGAAGTGAAATGCACGTAAAATAAAATTGTTTCGAGTGAAGAAATCAGGAGCATTTAGTACATTCACAGTGTTGGGCAGCCACCACCTCTGTCTCATTCCAAAGCGTTTCCATGACTCCAAAATAAAACACTGTACCCATTAAGTAGTTAACTGGCCTTTCTCCCTTCCATCAGCCCTCTGCAGTTTTATGCACTGATAAAGTTACTTACAGAAAATCATGCATTCAGAAACATCAACTTGATGTTACCAACTCCTGTAAAACTGAATAACATGTAAGCACCAGTAGAAACTGGTTTCATAGGATGTTTAAGTCCTTTTACTCAATATCTTTCCAGTCTAGGAAACATTTAGACTTAAGAGTTTTCAGGGAGTTTTTTTATCTAGTCAAGAAGTGCTTTGGAATATTTTTAGTCTGGAATAGAAATAAGAAAGCATTTGACTACAAAGAGGATGAAGCCAGATCTATAACCCCATAGCTTTATTTTCAGCCTGGTGTTGCTTAAGAAGTCTTGCACATTCGCTATGGAGTGTCTATGTTAGTGGAGCAAGTACTAGTCTAGAAGTTACATTGTTCACTAGAAATAAGTCTTTAGCTATGCAGCACTCTAATGGAGTAAATGGTGATGTTTACTTGTGAGCTGTTTATAATCCATTCATATTCTCTTGCCCTTCAAAATATCCATTTCTTGTCTTATGAATATTTGTTTCTGCTTCTCCATCAGGAGCCTAGGACCTTAATTCTGTCTCTTCTAAAGAGTCTTAACCCCAGGCTGTTCAAACCTAATTCAACTAGGCTCATCCAAAAGTTAGCATACCCTTACCACCATTCCTACTACTGCTGTGACTTTTAGCTTCCTTTTTAAGTTTTGGCACCTGAAGACTTCATCCTTGTTTTTTAATTTTAATTTAATTTTTTAAAACAAATCTATGTGGGAGGCTGTTTTATCTAACATTTCTATGTATGTGAAATGAAAGGGGGTTCTTCTTACCGTCTGTTCACTCCATCATGTTGATTAGTAGTTCTCCAAATCAGAAAGGTTATCCAGATTTTCACTCTCTGGTATTGAGTAGATTCAATTAAACTTTTAGATAAGTCTTTTGCTGTCTAAATGCTAAGTATTTGCCAGTTGAAACTCAAATTTGGAAATAGAGTAACCCTTACTATTTCAACTCCTACAGATTTGGGTAACAAGGGATACCTGTAATTCCTAACTCAGACATAAGCATTTTTTTTTTTTTTAAGAGACAGGGGCCTCGCTCTGTCACCCAGGCTGGAGTGCAGTGGTGTCATCACAGCTCACTATATCTTCAAACTTCTGGGCACAAGGGATCCTCTTGCCTCAGCCTCCTGAGTAGCTGGGACTACAGGTGCACACCACCACTCCTGGCAATTTTTTTTTTTTTTTTTTTTTTTTTTGGTAGAGATGGGAGTCTCACTGTCTTGCCAAGGCTGGTCTTGAACTCCTGAGCTCAAGCGACCCCCCTGCCTTGACNTTTGGTAGAGATGGGAGTCTCACTGTCTTGCCAAGGCTGGTCTTGAACTCCTGAGCTCAAGCGACCCCCCTGCCTTGACCCCCCAAAGTGCTAGGATTATAGGTGTGAGCCACCACGCCAGCCAGGATTTTTTAAAAGACACGTTTGATCATGGCATTCCCATGCTTAAAATTTTTCAGTGACTTCTCATTGCATTTAAGATAGAATTCAACTGCCAGAACATATCCTACAGTACTCTGTGATCTGGCCTCTGCCACTTTCTCCATCCTCACTTTACAGCACTATCTGCACTCACTGTAGCCATACTGGCCTTCTTGCAGTTTCTTAGATGTGCCAAAGTCTTTACCAAGAACTCCTTATTGCCCTTCATTTTGCCAGAAGCTACCAGCCGTCTCTCTTCCTCCCCTAATCCTCCATCTGGCTGATTCCTTTGCCTGAATGTCCTTTTCTCAGAGAAGCCTTCTGTAGCCACCTGTCCCATGCAATGATCTCATTTTACCCTGTGTTTGTTGTTAGACTCTTACAGTCATGGACTGTAGCAGTGGACTACATGTATCACAATGACCCTTTAAGATTATAATGGAGCTGAAAAATTCCTGTTAGTGACATTGTAACCATTCTGTCCTAGCACATAGCATTACTTGTGTTTATGGTGAAGCTGGTATAAACAAAACTATGCTAACCGGTCATATAAAAATCTAGCACATACAATTATGTACAGTATGTAGTACTAGATAATGATAATAACTGTGTTTACCGTATTATACTTTTTATGTTTAGAATGTGCTTTTTTATTAAAAAAAAAAAAAGTTTACTTTAGAACAGTATGTCTTGTTATGCCAGTGGCAGACTCATACATCTCACATTTACCATGTCTCTTGACTGCATCATTTTCTCTGTGTTTCATTTGATCTATTGTCATTTTGTTTTATGGCCCCTATGTGTACAAGATTCACAGCTAATGTTGCAAGAAGAGGCCACTTCGAGTAGATTGACCAGTAAGCTAAATTAAAAGTGGTTAAGGACTATGAAGGTGGCAAATCAGCAATGGTTATTGCTTGCCAGGTAATTAAGTCCCATTTCACTATAGCTATGATCTTGAAGAACAAGAATAAAGTGATGAAAGCTGTTAAAGGATCTACTTCATTGAAGACAAAAAGATTAACAAAAAAATTTGAAAAGGGCCTAAATCAGACATGAAGAAACTACTGAAGACCAGACACAGAAGCATATACCTCTCAGCATCATGACCATCTCAGACAAAACAAAATGTTTGCGATATTGAAAGAAAAGGTTGGACACAACTACAGTGTTGAATTTTCTGACAGCTTTGGGTGATTTTATTCAAGAATTGTTATTTGTTGCATAATGTGAAAGCTGGTAAGTGCTGAGTCTGTAAATGCTGATGTGAAAGTAGCTAAAGAATTTTTGGAAACTCTAGATAAGCTGATTGTGAGGAAAATTACTTGACAAGGTAAATATTCAGTATGGATGAAAGCTTGCTGTTCTGAAAACAGATACTGTAAAGGACTTTTCATCCATAAAGAGGCCAAGTCAATGCCAGGTTTCAAGGCATTCAGGACAGGAAAACAGTCTTGCCTGGGGAAATGTTACAGGTTACAAATAGAAGCCCTTTGTGATCTTGCTCAGTGAGAACCCCAGGGCCGTCAAGCTTATCACTAAACATACACTGCCAGTGTATTGCAGGAGCAATAAGAAGTCTTGAATGACCCAGCTTTTCTTCCAAGATGCCCTCCTGAATTGCTCTGCTAGAGCAATGGAGAAGTACTGTTTCAAGAATAACATACCATTCAAGATTGTGCTTATTGTTAATAATGTTCCACACATCCTCTTTTTATCGGTGAACTTTATCCCAGTATGAAAGTGGTATTTCTGCCTCCAAATACCATCTCTCTGATCAACCAATGGATCAAGGAGTTATAGCAGCTTTTCAGGCCAACTACATGAGAAGAATGTTTACCTAGGCTATTTCTGCAACTGAGGAGACACTGATGCAATTCTGGAAGGATTACATCTATGACTGCATCAAGAACCTTGCTTAGGGTGATGTCACCAATGTGGGTATGAGTGGCATCAGGAAGAAGATACTCAAGAGGTTCGTCTGTGACTTTAAAGGATTTTCCAAGGATGAAGAGGTTGTAAAAATCAACGTGGCTGTGGTTGGAGATGGCAAACATCTTTAATCATGGTGTGGATAAGGATGACATTGATGAGCTCCCAGAGGTGGTTTCTGAAGAACTGACTAATGAGAGGATGTTGGAACTGGAACAGGAATGCATGGCTGAAGAACAGGCAAGAGAAAGGGAAACTGCTAGAGAAGAAAAAGAAGAAACCCAAGAAAACTGATGGTGAAGGGTTTAGCAGAAGCTTTTGCAGACCTCAACAAGCTCCTTAAAAAGTTTGAAAACAGGCCGGGTGCGGTGGCTCAAGCCTGTAATCCCAGCACTTTGGGAGGCCGAGGTGGGTGGATCACGAGGTCAAGAGATCGAGACCATCCTGGTCAACATGGTGAAACCCCGTCTCTACTAAAA